AATAAACCTAACCAAAGAGGTAAAGGATCTATACTCTAGGAACTACAGAACACTCATGAAAGAAACTGAAGAAGACACAAAAAGATGGAAAAACATTTCATGCTCATAAACATTGTTAAAATGTCTATGCTGCCCAGAGCAATCTATACCTTCAATGCCATCCTGATCAAAATTCCAATCACATTTTTCAAAGTGCTGGAACAAACGATCCTAAAATTTGTATGGAATCAGAAAAGACCCCGAATTACCAAGGAAATGTTGAAAAAGATAAACAAAGGTGGGGGCATCACGTTGCCTGGTTTCAAGCTATATTACAAAGCTGTGATCACCAGGACAGCATGGTACTGGCATAAAAACAGACACACAGACCAATGGAACAGAATAGAGAGCCCAAATATGGACCCTCAACTCTATGGTCAAATAATCTTCGACAAAGCAGGAAAAAACATGTAATGGAAAAAAGACAGTCTCTTCAATAAATGGTGCTGGGAAAACTGGACAGCCACATGCAGAAGAATGAAACTCGACCATTCTCTTACACCATACACAAAGATAAACTCAAAATGGATGAAAGACCTCAATGTGAGACAGGAATCCATCAAAATCTTAGAGGAGAACATAGGCAGTAACCTCTTCGACATAGGCCACAGCAACTTCTTTCGAGATACATCTCCAAAGGCAAGTGAAACAAAAGCAAAAATGACTGTTGGGACTTCATCGAGATAAAAAGCTTCTGCACAGCAAAGGAAACAGTCAACAAAACAAAGAGGCAACCCACAGAAAGGGAGAAGATATTTGCAAATGACACTACAGACAAAGGGCTGATATCCAAGATCTATAAAGAACTTGTCAAGCACAACACCAAAAAAACAAATAATCAAGTCAAGAAATGGGCAGAAGACATGAACAGACACTTCTCAAAAGAAGACATACAAATGGCTAACAGACACATGAAAAAATGTTCATCATCATTAGCCATCAGGGAAATTCAAATGAAAACCACATTGAGATACCATCTTACACCAGTTAGAATGGCAAAAATTGACAAGGCAAGAAACAACAAATGTTGGAGAGGTTGTGGAGAAAGGGGAACCCTCTTACACTGTTGGTGGGAATGCAAGTTGGTACAGCCACTTTGGAAAACAGTGTGGAGGTTCCTCAAAAAATTAAAAATAGAGCTACTCTATGACCCAGCAATTGCACTCCTGGGTATTTACCCCAAAGACACAGATGTAGTGAAAAGAAGGGCCATATGCACCCCAATGTTCATAGCAGCAATGTCTGCAATAGCCAAACTGTGGAAAGAGCCAAGATGCCCTTCAACAGACGAATGGATAAAGAAGATGTGGTCCATATATACAATGGAATATTACTCAGCCATCAGAAAGGATGAATACTCAACTTTTACATCAACATGGATGGGACTGGAGGAGATTATGCTAAGTGAAACAGTCAAGCAGAGAAAGTCAATTAGCATAGGGTTTCACTTATTTGTGGAACATAAGGAATAGCATGGAGGACATTAGGAGAAGGAAGGGAAAAAGGAAGGGGGAGAAATCAGAGGGGGAGATGAGCCATGAGAGACTATGGGCTCCAGGAAACAATCTGAGGGTTTCAGAGGGGAGAGGGGGAGGGGGTAGCCCGCTGATAGGTATTAAGGAGGGCATGTGTTGTAATGAGCACTAGGTGTTATATGCAAATAATGAATCATGGAACACTACATCAAAAACAAATGATGTACTGTATGGTGACTAACATAATAAAATAAAATTTAAAAAAACCTATACATACTCATAAACATATTAAAAACTAGAGGCAATGGTCCAAAGGCTATCCATAAGAGAGGTTTTTTTTTTTTTTTTAATGTTATATGTAATTGGTTTATTGAGGAGTCTCAGCTCAGAGGAGATACTAAGATAAAACTTTTTCCCAAGTAGTGCTGGCAACTATGCTGTGTCAAATTCCTTTTTTTCCATCCCTTAATGATATTATAGGCAAATTCCAGTATTTTCTGGTTATTTTTGGTATTGGAATTCAGCACAGTACTGTTTAAACACCTACCTTATATTTTACCTTACATCTTTCTCTCCCCCATCGACTACATTTTCAGTTGGGGAGATGTGGAATTGGGAAAAGAGAACATGTCTGGTCTCCTGCTCCACCATTTTCTGGGTCTAACTCTTGTGGAAGAGGGCTACGGATGGGGGCCACGGATGGCCATATAACTAACCAGACACAACATGGTAGTAGGTTGATGTCACTGAGTTTGCTCTAATTAAGATGTTGATGGCCTCTGCTGATGACTCTTTTAGGAGCACACTGAGTTTCACCCTAGCCTCTCAGTGGATAAGGATTCTTTTAGTGCTCCATGATGTACAGTGCTTCCCTAGGTGGGACACAGCATCATTTGGCCCTGTACCAGCATCCTCTAATCTTCACAGAAGCACTAAGATCCGTGCCTACCATGTGTAACTGGGGTGCGGAGCGGATGCCCCATACTTTCTTCTATATATGACAATAGCTATTGTCCCTAATAACCAAGCTAGTACTGGCTTCTCCCTTTAGAAATCCCCACATTTGAGTATACTCTCACTGGTTTCTTAGGCATATTACAGACTCTCCCAAGAAATCTCTTACCATTTTCTCTTATTCTTTAATGGAAGCTCCAGAGTGGGCTGGTTTTACAGATGTGGTATATTGTCCATCTGAGGGATAAGACATATCTCCTCATTGCAGATACCCTCTATCTTTAATCTTTATTCAGGATATGCTTTTATCTCCTTCCTAACTTTCACTTGGCTGGGAAGATGGGGGAAGCAGATGAATGAGAAGGAAAATCTTTCATCAGAATCCTTAATCCTTCACCTTCTACAAAGTTGAGGACACCATGGACCACCCTCCTTCTTCTAGTCCCTTACTTCTAGAGCCTGGAATGAATGACTGATTGAAGGTAGCTGAGGAGTTTAACTGTTTCTCAGTAAACCCTGAGTGGGTGATAGTGGAGGTGGTGCTATATGCAACTATTAATGGCTCTGTTTTAGTACATGGGGTACTTCCTCAGCTACAAGTTATATAGAGATAGGAAAAGTCCCACCTAACACAAAAATCTAAATTTAAATGTTATTCAAAATATTCAAATTACCTAATTAAAATTCATACAATGCATACTGTTGTCTCAAGTACCCAATAAGAAGGAAATGCTGATGTAAAACAATTCTTCTATGATTTATTTTTCTGTTGATTATAAAAGTAATACATGGGGGCGCCCAGGTGGCTCAGTTGGTTAAGTGTCTGCCTTAGGCTCAGGTCATGCTCCCAGGGTCCTGGGATCAAGCCCTGCTTTGGGCTCCTTGGTCAGTGGGGAGCCTGCTTCTCCCTCTTCCCTGTCCCTTCCCCCCTGCTCGTGCTCTCTCTCTTCCCTTCTCAAATAAAGTCTTAAAAAAAAAAGTAATACATGACCATTGTAGAAAATTTAGAAAATGTAGAAAAGCATAAATTAGAAAATAAAAAATAACCTATCAGTCACAGTGTAAATTAAAACAATGGAGAATCTAAGAATAATGTACAAAATGGCATCTGTACAAATGCATAGTATGAGATCTTTCTTTAGACAATAAATTTATGTTTGCATAAACTAAAGTTAAAAGTTAGTATTCATACTCCACCTGAGGAGACTGAGAGAAATATATTCCACCCCAAGTACATGCTATAAAGAGAACTCACAGGAAGGAAGAGTGTGCTTTCAGGGAAAAGAAACAATGAAACACTTGTGATAAGTGTGTTTTGATGAATGGAGAAGGTAACTTTGGTCCCTGACTTCCTTAATTCCAAACCCTGAGTCCCAGGTGTATATTCTACCTTTGAATTATAAAGGATATTCCTATATCCTTTCAATAAACCCCATGTCAATTTTATTTTACTTAAATGAACTGAATTCATTTCTAGTTTTTTGCAAACATACCATATGAGCTGTTTCCCGTAAGTTAGAGTTCCCATAAGTTAAATTGACTTAATGTTTTAAGATTCAAAGCAGTATTCACTATCAGAGTTAAAAACCTAGTAGGTAATAATGGGTAACTTTAAGCATTAGGTACAAGATTTTCGAGACTCAATAATTACCTTCTGAAAGAAATTACAGTAATCTCTTCTTAAAATATAGATTGCTACTTCTTTTAATCCTTCTAGTCCATACATATCAGCCATATTGAGTATCTGACTAAAATAAAAATATATGTTAATTCTCCAATTTGAAAACCAAGGAATAACACAATAATTTCCTGATAATATATAGTCTGTTTAGAAAAAATAATAATCTAAATTATTTTAACTCTAACTTTCTTCCCTACATAATAGACATCCTTTATGGGTAATAAAAAGGACACAGGTCAAAAGCTGAAAGCACTTTCACATGACTTGGTTAGTAGAAAATAACAAGAAGTAAATTTGGAGATGTTTCAATCAAATTCCCCTCATATTTTCAGTGACATATATATCAAAGTTCAGGACGCTGTTTCAAAGGCTGTAAAAGTTACAAAACTCTTTGCAACAAATTTGTGTAATAAAAACTTACTTGGGAGAATTGGTAATTAACTGATGCTTATCATATTGAAAATTCCTACAAATGACCCTAAGATTAGAAACAGTATCCAATGACTCAGAGAGTTTCCATTGCTTCTTTCATTTGGCAAGTATTTCTCAGCACCCACTTACTTTAGGTACTTAGGAAACCAACAAGCCTTGAGAGCATGATAGAATTTCATGTAGGTTTCCAGGGGGGGAAACTTCAGTACTTAATCTCGGTGAGTCATGACACTTTCCCTCCAAAATCATATTTATTCAGTTTGTAATTAAAGGAACCAATGAATATTTAAATTAAAAGAGCAGCTTTCATTTGTTTGATATTAGAACAGCAATAAAAGAAGAGGACATCCAAAAAATTAGAAGAGCAAGGTAGATTTCGCTTTCCGGTATGATTTTAGCAACTTGGATGGCATTTCACTAAAGAGCACTTTATAACCACTGTTGGTCTTTAAGATACCTATACTCTTAAAGTAATTTTAAGGTTTTTCTTTTTCTTTTCTTTTGCTGTTTAAGAGAGTAATCCTAAAATTTAAAAATAAAGTAGTAAGAGAACTGTTTGAAATTTGATATTCAGTTTTACTTTATAAAAACCTGTTATTTATTTTCTAAAACAAATATAAGATTTTTCTAATAAAATCTGAGTCAAATACTTTTCTTAATCTTATCACTGTGAGTTGCTAGATCATCTTTTCTTCTAAATAAGGTGACACTGTTTTTAGATATTCCCAACACACAAGATATGGCAAAATAATAAAAGTGAAGCTTTTACTTCACTGGTACTTTAAAACATGGCTCAACAAAGCAGAAACCACAAAGTAGTAATACTTTTATATTTAAAATCACTAAAAAGTAATACATACCCAACATTAGCTTTGTCTGGAAAGTCCAAAGTTCCTCCATATATAAAATGCATCATAACATTCATTTCCACATGGTTTCTACTGAAAAATAAAAGAAAACTTAATTCAAATCCAGAAATAATTAAGGTTTAACTGATATCAATGATACATTCTATTTTCTAAAAAATTTTAGCCAAGATAAAAGTTTTTTTTGTTTTTTAAAAATATTTTATTTATTTGACACAGAGAGAAAGACAGCTAGAGAGGGAACACAAGCAGGGGGAGTGGGAGAGGGAGAAGCAGACTCCCTGCTGAACAGGGAGCCTGACACGGGGCTCAATCCCAGGACCCCGGGATCATGACCTGAGCCGAAGGCAGACATTTAACGACCGAACCACCCAGGCACCCCTAGCCAAGAAAAGTTTTAATCTCACTTATATCTGTAGAATATATTCTTCAAATAACATCCAGTTATTCCATTAATTTAAAATTAAGTATAAATGCAGCTATAGATTTTTATATAAGTAATAAAATGTTATTAGTATGTTACCAAATCACTGGTACTTGTTGAGCATCTTCTGTAATGAACTTTTATTTTTTATTTTTTAAAGATTTTATTTATTTGACAGGGACAGCAAGAGAACACAAGCAGGGGGAACAGCAGAGGGAGAGGGAGAAGCAGACTCCCCACTGAGCAAGGAGCCCGAAAAGGGTCTCAATCCCAGGACCCTGGGGTCATGACCCTGGGATCATGACCCGAGGTGAAGACAGATGTTTAACCAGCTAAGCCACCCAGGCACCCCTGTAACTAACTTTTAGAGTTAGAAGGGATGTGAGAGGTCACAATACAATCTCTTGCTCATTAGGAAATCCTTTCCCCAGCATCACTGACAAATGGCCTCTGGTCTTCTTAAAGCCTCAGATAAACAACTCTATACACTAGAAAGATTGTTATGCTGTACAGATTTCTGAATGTGTAATACCCATCCAGCTACTCTAGTTTGACCAACATCCTCTTTATACAGATGAAAAGTAAAGATACGACGTAAGAAGTAGTCTGGAGTGGTAATTTTTATGCCCTACTGACTACTGGATCTCAAACTGAATTCACGGCCTCCTTCCTCTTCCCTACCTCCCCCCGTGCCCCAGACTCAGTCTTCTTTCTGCTATTCCTATTTTGTTCATAGTACTGTTATAGGGCTTCTTGCATCTTGTCATACTCTCTGCCTCTGTGCAAAGGGGACTGAATTATCTGGTTCATGGGCAACAATCACTGGTCATTGGTCAAGAGGAACTCAAAATGAGAGGTAACTGGATTTCCTTTTTCCTTTCTTCTCTGCTGAACAAGCATGAAGAGGGGATTGGGAAGAAGTACATCTACTATACAATTTCAGACTTTCTTTTGGGTGGGTTGTCACAGAAGGGACATAGTAAGCAAGTAAACTCTGGTTCTTGCATTAACACACATTTTACTGCTTTAACAGTTTTTATCTATAATAAAGGAAATATTAGGGTGCCTGGGCATTGACCCTTGATTTTGGCTCAGGTCATGATCTCAGGGTCATGAGATGGAGCCCGCATTGGACTCTATGCTCAGCAGGAAGTCTGCTTGAGATTCTCTCCTTCTCTCTCCCTCTGCTCCCCCTGCCTGCTTGCACACACATTCTCTCTAAAATAAATAAAATCCTTAAAAAATAATAATAATAAAGGAAATGTTTTCTTACTTCATCTGCTAGTTCTCTCATATTATTTTGATCAGGAATAAAGTATATTATTTATCCACCCCAACTCTAATACCATCTAGATTATCATCTACATACCTAAGAGGCTGAGATTCATCTTAATCTTCTCCCTCATTATATCACATCACTTATACCTTCAAAATTTCTTGAATTCAGCCTTTGCTGTCTATTTCTCCTTTCACTATTCTGGGTTAGCCTCATTTTCTCTCATCTGTACTATGACTATATCTTCTCTCTCATGCGGGTTTCCTACCTGAAATAATCTCTTCATATCCCATTTCCCACACTGCTATTTGAGTGAAAACCCTTCAATAATTCTCCATAGCCCATAGAAAAGAAGTCCAAATTCCTTAGCTTGGTATATAGTGTTCTTTTATCTTACCTCTAGTTCTCCCTCTCTAGAAGCTGTTCCAAGAAAAATGAACTACTCATTTCCTATACCTGAACTACTTAAAATTCTTTATACATCTATGCCATAGGACATCTGTTTACTGTTTAAAATGCTCTCCCTCTCTACTTATTTCATCTTGCAGACACCAGACATGTGGCTCTTTATCTCTGATTGTTTCTTTAATGTCCCCAAGGCCAAAAAAAAAAAAAAAATCACTGAATGGTAAACAGTAATAACTAACATTTATTGAGCACTTATGAGCCAGTTACTGAGCTAATAAGTATTTCAAATGCCATTTGCTCATTTAATCATAATAACTCAATAACAGATATTATTATCAGTCTTATTTTATAAATGAAAAACTAAAATTAAGTAACTTGCCCAAGGCCAAATGGCTAGTGATAACACTACAGTTTAAATCCAGGCTGACTGACTCCAAAGTGTAGGCTCTTAAGCAGTACACTATACTATACATTTCCATTATCACATTTATCAAACTGACTTGTAATATCTTTGTTTACACATTTGTTTCTCCTTTAGACTGAGTTCTGTTGGGGCAGGCTGCATCTTAGATTTATCCTTGCATTTCTAGTAGCAGCCGAATGTCAGCATTGATTCAATATCCCCCAGGATGAGAAGAATTTTCTTGCCCCACACAATACTGGAGCTCTGCAGTGGAATCAGTGCTGATAAGATTCCTACAGTTTGTTAAGCACAGTATCTAATATCTGCTAAAGGAAAGAAAGAAGGAAGGCAAGAAGAAAAGAAATGGAGTCCCACCGGGTAGGACTCAGAAAGGTGTTTGATTCTATTACCTTATAATAACATATGCTCAATAAACTTTTGACGAATGTTTAATGAATGGCTTGTTAAGGCACTTAGGGCATCTTCCTAACCCTTCAGAGAAATACTGAGTTGAAAATATACAAGTATTTTTCAATTATTTTATTTTATTTTATT